AGGGGGGTTTGACGATTTACGGGTTTTTCGTACTACATAATGGTATTTCTTTACTTATAAATGTTAACTGTGTGAAGGAGTTTAATGTTCATTGAGTTGAAAACGCTCTGAAAATGATTCACGATTCATTACTGTAATACAGTCGGGCGCTGTAATGATAACAAACGACTTACGTAGGCCTACACGAACGATTTTATACACGTAGGTTTAGATATACTGTCTTATTCATCATGATCATACATCTATATTATGACTCGTAAATCGCTCTGGTTTTCTTCTCTTCGTCTGTCCTCATCCGTGATTGTATTGGTTTTCTTATCAAAAGTAAATTTACATGGTTACATTATGTTTGTTTACTGAATTGAAAACAGTTCACAATATACTTCCTGTAGGCTGTAGTTGACCTTTATAACCCTATACAGAGGGCTGTTTCGGCTGTATGCTCATTCGATATCTTATGCCTTGGGTACGGCCAGTGCGCCAGCCAGTGCATGTATTATAAACGTTTGTGTGTGTGTGTGTGCCTAGTGCAGGGAGGTGTACGAGTGTGTTGTGTATCGACGCATACGGGGATTCCCCTTCAGCACAATGTAGAAACGACCGTTTAAATGTCTAGCCGTGTGCTAAACTGCATAGCACTGCACACCATTGCGTTATACGTGTATCATCGTAGCCGATGGTTTTGAAGTCAGAAATCGTCTTTTAAAGACTGAAGACTGTTAAGATTCAAACTCTCTCTATTTATGTATCCCCTTTATCCCTTCGTTTGTATTTGTCCCATTTGTTTGATGCCCATCCCATTTTATGAACCATATAAAAATAACGTGGGTGCACATGTACACAATGATTGTTTCGTGAGAAAAAGAGGACGCTTTTAAAAACTTCTCCGTCTTTCATGCATCACATTCATTATTAACATCTCCGATTTGATACAATCCATTCTGAACCTACGGTCGCTTTAAGTGTAAAACCAACAAGGAAACCAACCCAAAAGTTTGCGATTTTTAGTCACCCTTTTCCAATAAAAAGGATAGGTTTCTCTCAACCGAGTTTCCGCCATTTTACCCGATGCACGCTGTCATTTCTAGACATGAAAGAAGATAAAAGCATTTCCATTTTGGGTTCGTCATTTTGGGTTCGTCTACATGCAATGACGTAGAGTGATTCGAGACATTGGTGGGGCTCACGGGCATTTGGGTTGGGGTGGGGGGGGGGGGGTGCTTCACATTTTTTGTCCTGGGGTGGGGTTGCGAAAGAACAAGAATGGATGATGTGAGGGTGTGGACGTGGGTCGTGTTGTCATATTTGACGATGATTTCCTGCTCTCTCTTTTCTCTTTCTCTCCTTCCTTTTCCGAAATTCGATGGTATTTGCCATCGAAGCCCATTGGGGGGGGGGGGGCTTCGGGGCATGTGCGACCCATTCCTTATGGATCCGCCACTACTCTCTTTCTCTCTCCAAAAAAAGTGGATTTTCACTTTATTTTCACTTTCTTGGGAGTGACGTCAGGGGTCACTTGTTTAGGAGTGAATATCGATTGATTTTCGAGTGGTCTCTAAGAAGAAAAGAGTGAATGTTCACTCTATTTTCACTACATTTTCACTCTTGAGAGGAGTGACGTCAGTGATCACTCGATTTTTTTTGAGAGAGTAGATATCCATGTTCATTCATTTGCGAGTCTATAAGTCTTCCTCATATTGCACAATGGCTTTTAGTTCATACATGCAATCAAAGCTTAGTGGTACACAACGGAGCGGATTTCGTGCAGACGTTTTTTATGCTGTTAACCACCGGCATGCGATATATAGATTACAAAGGAATCGTTATATTGCTTTAAGATCACACCACGTGACGCATACACATGATTTAAAGGAAACATCCACCTTACTGATAATTCTTTTGTTGAAATGCATGTCTACACGTCCATTATATGAAAGAAAGCAAAACATCAACAACAGTAACAACAAAAACGGATAGAGGCGTACGGATACAAACGAAATTCATGAAAGGTTGCCCCCCCCCCTCACAAAAAACAACAACTATATGATCATAATAATTTCAGATCAAACATGCTTTTTAACAATAAATTGAAGTCTTTCAACTCTATTACAATAAGAGTGTGTTTTCACTTAGGGCCACTGCTAAGGCTAAGATAAATTGAGCCAGAATTTTTATTTAAATTCTTGATCATTCTAAACATCACAGTCATAGGCCTGTATTCCCTTCTTAGCCGTCCCCAGTTGCTTACAAAGCATCTTTCTACTAGGCCCAAAACTACATGTATCTTCAATGTGAGTTTTCCGTTTACATGCGAAAACGAAAACCAATTATTACGTTAACCAAAAATTAGTGCTGGTATCCCCTTGGTACGTGTATAATTTAAGGAATTTCCGAACGATAAATGTTATGACAATTTACTTGGAATTTTGAAGGAAACACCATTGCCAGTCCATTCATTTTTATGCCGTAGGGATTTTAGTGAGGTTACTTGTATTTCCGATGTAGCAATAACGCGATGGATTTCCCTCGCACTTGCGTAACATAGGCTGGCTTAGCAGCGTTAGGCTGGAGTCAAGGCTAATGATGTTCCAGTGTCAATGTGGAGCCTGTACTTTAAGACTAGGTGGCACCCTGCCAAGAGAGAGAGAGAGAGAGAGAGAGAGAGAGGGAAAAAGAGAGGGGTGTATGTGCGTGTGTGAGTAGGGGGGAGGGGCTACAAACGAACGGAAAACCTGTGATTTGATGGTCCAAAGTGCGAATAAACATCCAAACCAAAGCAAACATAATAGGATGTTTGCTAGCTAGCCAATGGGTTCAAAATCCATTTTACTTCCAACAATTAAGGTGAATTCCCACTACACACCACACCACGTATTTGCTTATAGTTGATTGAACCATTGGTGATTGAACACTCGACAGAATTAGCATAATGTATAATGGAAGGGCACTTCGACAGCTCTCACCCACAAACGATGATACATTTCTTTTTCGAATTTCGATGCCTTTGATGACAAAAATTTCATTATTTTAGATCTCATCAGAGAAATTTATCGCTCTCCTTTTTCCTCGCCCTCTTCTTCTCTCTCCTTCTTTCTGTTGTGGAATGCAACTTTCGCATCCCTCCCTCTCCAATCCATGCTACCTAGCTGTATTCTCTTTCAAGCATCCCCCCTCTCTCTCTCTCTCTCTCTGTCTCCCACTCTCCCTCTTCCTCATTTTATCTCCAATTGAATGCCTTTTCTTTCATATCACTATCTCCCTCTCCATCATACCAATGTGTTCCTTTCTAGTCGTCTTTTTTTTTTCCCAATCCCCCCTCTCTCTCTCTCTCTTTATCTTCATCTCCCTCTTCTTCGCCTTCTTTCTCTTTCTGTTATTAAGTGTCTCTCCTTTGTACCCCCCCCCCCCCTCTCCATCCTACCAGTCTTCTCTTCCGCGTTACCCCTTTCTATTCTCACTGTTACCATTCGATAGGAGAGTGTTCTAAACAGTTCTGGTAATGATAGCAAATAAATTATCACAGAATCCAACAAACTTACACTGAATGTTCAAAATTGAAAAATGAATCACATTTGCATAACGATTTTGGTAGAAAAATGTATAGGGGCTGAGTAATGAGCTTATAGAAAGATAAGGAAATTAAGGTAGGCTCGCCCGACACCATGTGCTTAGTTAAGACAGGTCACTATGTGCAAGTGAGAGTCGTGGTTTTTTATTACTGAAGATGTTTTCGACGGCAGGTTTTTGTCAGGTTGTTTTTATCTTACTGGTTCAAACAATCAATCTACTGCAGGATAAACTATCCAGAATGAGTTATAGCCATGTTCTCTCCGACATACGGTGCCATACCAGAGCTCAAGATTATTAGCTTTAATGGAATGAGGAAATGATAGGAAGCCCACACTGACAACACGCGATCATTAGATCAATCAAAACGTGATAAGAAGAAAAAAAGTCATCATGTTCACGACATTGCATTTATCTTTGACACTGCCTTAAGGCATGTGGTTCCCGAGCTAATATACATGTCGATAATATGTGTTACATGCACATGTTGATAGTATTGATTTGATTAAGTTCTGCTGGTCAATATGAACGCACAACATTGAAATAGATGGGATTAATACGGAGTATAATATTTATCTGAACATAATGACGCACACAATTTTTTTTTTAGATAAAGGCCATTAAATAGATATCCACACAATGGGTATTCTTCATTTCTCTAGCGTGATAGTGGTTAACTATTACGCAGGGAAAGTAAGCTCTCGTGATGTCTCAATGCTAAACCGCTTGTCATACAGTTTTTAATCATTTCCTTTGCATATCCGCCCGTATACCGTGCTATTGTAATCAACAATGTCCCAGGCACGCGCTGTAGAAAAGGGGAAACCCCCTCTTCCGTCATCCGATTGTATGCAGGTAGTATTTGTTCCAGTATCGAGACGCTTGATTAGTATATTAATAAGGCATACTATTGAAGGGAAATCGGAGGAGAATAAATTAGTTTACCAAGCGTAAAATATGGATTTATTTCTAAACTTTAAAAATTGAATATTCATCTTCCCGTTCCCCCAATAATATTCTTTAATGTGTAATTATATAATTTAATGTTTTTTTTTTGAGGGGGGGGGGGGGCGGAGGGTATTTCGTGTTCCCCTTATGCTTGCAAAAGTAATTGCATGAATATAGCTACATCACCTGTGTTTGTAAGCGTTCACATAATAATGTATTAAGTCATTTGTATTAATGAAACAAATGAAACTATTGCAAAGACTTCAAAAAAACAATTTCAATAGGCTTGTCTACCTAGTGAAATGCGCGAGCATATTATGACGTAATTTGAACAAGATTTCCACCCGCAACACCCTTAGTTAATTTCTTGAAGAGTTTGTGATTGTGTTAAATGCAAGTACTGTATCATAAATGTCATACATCCTAAGGGTTCTCCTTGACCTAATTGCCTCTATTTTTTCTCTTCTGCTTATTTTTTCCAACAGGATTTCCTGCAACCTCGGCACCGTACCCTGTCAATCCGTTCGTCAGTCTATCGATCGCCATCGACTGCCAGCGCGCCACCGAGCAGGATTCCGACGGCGACACGTAAGATAACTTGACACATTACCTTTAGACCTATGTCTTAATGGTCCTTTATGTCATTGGTCCTCCATCAATAGTCCTTTGTCTCATTAGTCATATGTATCAAAAGTCATGGGTCTCAGTTTCCTATGTTCAATGTTTAATTGTTCTATGTCACAATTCCCCAATGGTCCTTTTTCTCAATGTCCTATGTCTCAATTGTCCTGTATTCCATAGGTCCTATGTCTCATTGGTCCTATGTGTTCGTCTAATTTTTCCTATGACTTTATGATCCCGTGTCTCAATGTCTTATATCTCAATGACCTTATGCCTCAATGGTTATATGTGTCAAAGGTCCTATGTCTCAGTGGTCCTTGACACTCGTCCTATGTCTCAAAGTCTTATATCTCAATGACCCTGTGCCTCAATGGTCATACATGTATGTGTCAATGGTCCTATGTCTCAGTGGTCCTTTACAATCATCCTATGTCTCAATGTCTTATATCTCAATGACCCTGTGCCTCAATGGTCCTATGTCTCAATGGTCCTATGTCTCAGTGGTCCTTTACAATGGTCCTATGTCTCAATGTCTTATATCTCAATTACCCTGTGCCTCAATTGGTCCTATGTCTCAGTGGTCCTATGTCTCAATGGTCATATGTCTAAATGTCTCAATGTTCCTTTGTATCAATCGTCCTATGTTTCAATGTGTCAATGTTCTATGTCTCGATGGTCCTGTGTCACATTGGTCCTGTGTCTCAGTGGTCCTGCGCCACTGTGGACTGTAAGCCTTGTCCCAGTCCAAACATAATACAACTCAACCAGTAAGCTTGGAACCTAATGTGTGTTATGTCCAGAGAAAGAATGAATACTCGGTAAGAAGGATTACTGTGAACTTGCTTGAAACAGGGAGAAAAGGGGGAGTGTTTTTTTTTCTTATTAATAAACAAAATATATGATTTAGATTTGTTTTAAAGGGGTATTTAGAAACATGGCTAACCCTAATTTGTGCGTAATTCAAATACGGCATATAGAATACCTTACCTTAAACAAAAATCAAGGATGTTCAAATCAAAGTAAAGTTTAATAAGAAAGAAAAGCTACTTTTAGACCCTATAGAATATCATATTGCAGAAGTAGTTTGATTAATTGTTTACGACAATATAAATATGTAAGCATATAACACGGACCTGGTGAAAATGTTTGGAGTGGTATAGCGTAGGTCCATTTATTAGTAGGGGTTGGTGTCATGTAGAGGGGAAGGCGTGCACCGGAAATATGAAGTGGATGAAATATGAGAGAACATTTTGTTAAGTTGCCTTTTACCTCTCCCTCTCGTTCTTTCCGAGTATGTCTTTCTTCCCTTTCTTTCTCTCTCTCTCTCTCTTTCTCTCTTTCTCTCTTTCTCTCTTGCTCCCTCTCTCTCTGTCTTCTAATTTTGGGGAAGTTGCGAAATCTTTTCCAGTTACCTCACGTTGCCGTTACTCTCTCCAAACCATTCTTTATCTTTCTATATTGCCCCTTCCCCCTTTTGTGGCCATTCGATGGGGGGGGGGGGGGGGGGTGCGTGCCCCAGTGCCCCCTTGGATAGCTACTCCAGTGTGTTTCTCTTTTGACTCCAGGAAGCGTTAAGCATTGAGATATCTAGGTTAAGGTGTGCCGTGCGCAAGATGAATTATGTTCTTATCATATTCTCCATCAATCGACTTCGAGTTTCCGGAACCCTTGATATTGAGGGTAGGGGAAAACCCCTCCGTCACTTTGATATTTACCGCACCGGCGCGCGTGTCATCTGCACTGTTCACATGGGGTAGCCGTGACAAGAACAGTCGGGCAGAGTTAAGTCGTGATACTTAATCTTGCGCTATTTAGAGTTTAAAAAAGAATAGGCATAAATAATAAAAAACCTTCTCCATTACAAGTGGCGTAATATCAGTGCCCGTTGTAAAGTCACACAGAAATAAACTCTAGTTCCTCTAGTACTTACTTTGTTTTCAGATGGTAATACCCGGAAATTAAGGATCCAAGAATTTGCACTGTGTTCTACAATAGGGTCCCAATGTGCTTAAACGACTCTTACATATTATATTCATGAATTGATGTTCGAACGTAAGTCCAACATGTACATTTACATTGCTTTATTTTTAAAACAAACGGTCTTATCTGGTATGACTACACTTCCAAATTTCAACTATACTTAAGAATTGTAATGTTTTCAATTTTCTGTGAAATTTGGTTATTCCATTTTACATGTTCAAACACTAACTCCGCTACCGATCCGTCACAAATTAATTGTTTCTTCCATTGAAGAAAGAGTGCTACATTTCATTAGAAATAAAATTACAAAATGGGTTTTTAGCCCGAGTTTTTTAGCACCCAGTTATTAAGCAGTTAATTCTACCATAGACGTAATATTACGTCTATGATTCTACTACAGTACACCGATCAGATTTAGGGTAGGCCTATGGCTTGAATAAGACCTGGGACCCGTTTCACAAAGCCTTTTTTCAATGAAAAATCTGCTGATAACCAATCAGAAGCAAGGATTTCTGTAGCTTATAACAAAACTGTCATTGGTCATAGATGATAAGTCTTGTGAAACAGTTCCCAGGAAATGCGCCGAACCAGGATCTTAAAACCACAGACATTGGAGCAACACATGAATAGGCTTAACAAGACCGCAAGGTGCTTGTTATTTTTACTGGCTTTCATCGTAGATCATATATTACAAAACCTTGATGATTCGTTTCGTTTTGTGTCAGTAGGTTAACAATGTTGACATACATGTACATGTATAAACTCTCTTGACTTTAAAGCTAACCTTGAGCTCTGGTATGGGCACCGTATGTCAAGAGAACATGGCTATAAATCATTCTGGATTGTTTAACCTGCAGTAGATTGATTGTACGTCTATGGTTTGAACCAGTCAAATAAAAACAGCCCCACAACAACTTGCTGGAAATCATCTTCAATAAAAACCACAAGTTTCATTTGCACTTAGTGTCGGGCCTACTTACCTTGATTTCCTTATCTTTCTATTCTCATTACTTAGCCCCTATGCATTTTCTTCCAAAATCGTTTGGCACATGTCATTTTTTTGTAATCTTGAACATTCAGTTGTACGTTTCGTGGATTCTGTGAGAATCTAGTTTTTATCATTACCAGAACTTAAGCATATCTTTAATTGTATCATAGAAGAAAGGTTTCACATATTATATCGCCAGTTTATTTGTATTTATTCGAAATATATGGAACTTTTATATTATACAATGCCCCGTCCCGATGGACAAATACAGTTACAATCTGTGGGAGAAATACACGCATTACTTTTCCTTTCTCTTGGCCGATCTGGTATAAGATTTCGAGTGCGACTTTCGTTAAGTGTTTTAGGTTTGTTTCTTTTAGCGCTCGATTCTGATTGGCTGTTTCTATGACATATTTGATTGATTATGATGCACGATTGGTTTTAACCATTCAGATGGCGTAACCTTATAGTAATTGTTATTATTATTATTGTTATTGTTAGTACTATTATTATTGTTGTTGTTATTATTAATATTATCATCACCAATATTATTATGGTTATATAATTGGTATTATTAACATTGATTTCATTTATAACGCGAGCGTTACAATGACGTATTACCTACGCAGAAGTGAAATCAAAACATATTTTCAGTTCAGTGATCACCCAATCTGAACATATGTATTAGAAAAAGGTTACAATTGCCAGTTGAGTTGATTTTTCGAAAGACTGTATGTTTTAATAATGATACGATTGTTTGGTCATACATGTATTTGATTGATCGTTATTTTAACTTTTCACAGTGCGCTCCACATCGCCATTGTTCAAGACAAGCCGGATATGGGTCTGATCCGGCGGTTGATTGAGCTGGTTCGGTTAGCCGGCAAGTCGGTTGATATCTTCAACTTCATGCAACAGGTAAAAGCTTATCTAGAACTCATGTTTATCGCTTCATTTAAAAAAAAATATTGGATAAACAGAAAAAATTAATATGAATACTTTGACAACGGGCCACCTTTCCTTCCCCTTTCATCCTGTATCACCACTCCATCTCGTTTTTATTATTTTGAGTACTTGATTTGTTATCTTAGGGTCACTTTGTAGGACCTTTTATTTCGATTGCTTTCAAGGGAATTTTATTTGTATCGCTTCTCTCTACCCGGGTGTAAATGTTGGTACCTGGTAGGATGCACACATCATTCTGTTTTAATAACATATGCATATATGAATCCTAGGAATGGGGTAAACTATAAAGCGCATCACATAATATTATTATTATTACTATCATTATCATTATTTTTTTTTTAAATACCGGGTAATCATTGATATTATTATTATTATATATTATTATTATTTTTTTTTTTTTCTTCTATTCCTCAGACACCTCTTCATCTGGCTTGCATCATGAAGGACTCTGACGTCATCCGATTACTGGTTGAAGCCAGTTCTAACCCGAATGAAGCGGATCGTAACGGTCAGACGGCGGCGCATCACACGTGTAAGAGCAGTACACCAAGCTGTTTGGGCGCCATACTGCGATACTCACAGGTGGAAGTCAACCTTAACATCAGAAACTATGAAGGTATGTCACCTTTACTGACAGATTTAAAGGCATCGTTTAACAATGTTAAATCTGAGATACACGGCCCTATGTGTTATCATTGTCTGTGATAATGTGTAATATTGAAGCCCTAAAAAAATTGCACTTCAAAAGGATCATGAAGTGCCTCAAAAAAGTAAACATCTTTGAGTGATCGGTTTTAACCATACTCATTTCCCTAAATGACTGTAGTGTAATAAAAACCGTTAGGAAAACAAATGTTTAAATTTTGATTTCCATTCATAAATATTTTGATAATCAGACAGGTGATCGGCTTGTAAAAGGGAGAAGGGCATAGCTGGCCAGAAATAAGTGTCTGGTATGGGTAATTCTTTAATAAAACTGACATTTGTCAACCCCCCCCCCCCCCCCCCCCCCCCTATGTAAAGAGGCAGTCAGTGGAGCCAGATATAGTCTCTGCGGAACAACCATTGATATCAGAGACTGAAGCTTTCAGCCTAAGCTGGCCTGTGCACCTCCCCACCCCCCCTTTTTTTCTCGCTCTCTCTTTGAAAGACTATTTCTGATTATGAAAATAAAAATCACAGTTGTAAGATGAGAAACCATAATATGACTTCTTTTCTTCTTTTTTTCCTACCAGGGTACACTCCTCTCCATCTGGCAGCCATGGTGGGCAACCCTACACTGGTCACCATGTTACTTGAGAAAGGGGCCGATCTCAACTCTAAGGTATGAATGATGTATCTCAATTTCATAAATAGACATCAAATCACATAAAATGATTGATTTCAGAACATTTTTTTTTCTCAAGAGACTTGCTTCCCTCTGTTTAAATTCATGTGCTCTTGAAGAATTTCATCTCAGCGTGTCCAATCTGAATTGCTATATCAGTTTGTTTCAGATTTCATAAGACTAATGAAACAAATGCAACTTGATTGTCAATAAATCAGCATCAGCATATGCCAACTCACATGAATTTAATTTGTTTAGTTGTGTTTTAAAGGCCCACTGCACTACTTGTAGCTACTTGCGCCCTCTATATAACAAACAATGCCTAATCGGTGACCATTGGTCCCCCATGATCCTCTTTTTCTTATGTTAACTGAGAGCTGAGTTGATGAGATAACCACCTGTCCAGTGACCTTGCAGGGCGCTCTAATCCCTCCTGTAAACTATGGCAGATAAGCTTTAAGGCAAGTTATTATGCCACAGGTTTTAGTAATGATAATAATTTTATTTACCCAGGGAAGCCTCATCAGCTTCAATGCTGTTCTTCCAAAAGACCCTCCATTTCTTATTACCCCCAAAATTACCAGGTACCCATTTACCCCTGTGTGGAGAGTGGCAAGTGTGGAGTAATGCCTTGCCAAAGGATGTTAGTACTGGGCCGGGATTGGAACCCTCAACCCTCGGATTGAGAGTCAACTGAATGAACCTTCCAATTACTAGGGACTTTTAGATTCGCACGAAGACAATAGGTCTGACTCTATGCTACGATCGACGTCCTTTTAATGCACTTCCTTGAATGGGCGTCACACGTATCAGTCCACGCAAATCTAAAAGTCCCTATTATTACCACAGAAATGACCAGGTACCCTGGATGGAGAGTGGCAAATATGGAGTAATGCCTTCTTCTTCTTTGGGTTAAGTCTACCTCCTCCACAGTTAAAGATTCTTGCCAAAGACCATTAGTACTTGGCTGGGATTCGAATCCTCAACCCTTGAACTGAGAGTCTTCTTCTTCTTCTTCTTCTGTACGTGTCGACAGACTTGTTAGTCCATATAAAGGCACGGAAACCTCTTAACCACAACTCATATTTGTCTTTAACTTTGGCAGGATTCCAAGAATGGCTGGACACCGCTGTTCCACGCCGTGACCAACCAGGACACCAAGCTGGTCCACAAGATGCTCAGCTCTGGAGCCGAGGTCAACGTCCAGTCGTACTCTGGTAACACCGTCCTCCACGTCGCCACCGGGCGCGGCTACACGGACATCGTGAAGATCCTCGTCCATTACGGAGCCGACATGAGCCTCAAGAACACCCAGTGGGATACACCGGCCACTATCACTACCGATAAAAATGTGAGTAGGACTTTAAAGCCCATCTGCACTAGTTTTGCCAGGAAGGATTAGACCTCCCTACAAGGTCACTGGACAGGTGGTTATCCCATCAACTCAGCTCTCAAATAACATAAGAAAAAGAGGATCATGGGGGACCAAGGGTCACCGATTAGGCATTGTTTGTTATATAGAGAATGCAAGTAGCTACAAGTAGTGTGGCTTTAAAGGTCATGAACCATTTTGAGAAGCCCATTTTTCAGCAGGTATTTTATTTTATTTTAGATCATGCATAGAAGATATTAGCAATATTTTCTAGGCAGGTGGTCTTTATGTACAGGTTCTTTTAGTACATGTTTCATGAGAAACCATTTTCAAGGGAAACACCTATAGAAAATCAAATGTAGGGATGATGTATTATAAAATGCTATGAAATTAATACTATGGGATGTACAAAAGGGTATTTAGATTACCTATAAGTTGATTTCTCAAAAGTCTTTGTAATCTTTTATGTGTTCTTTAAATTTTCATGTTCATTTTCCATATCTTTTCTGTCCCTTCTCTTAGAAAAGCTTTCTGCTGTTACATTCCTCTCCTCAAATTTTTAAATTTAATACTGGATTACAGGATGAGAGTATAAAAATCTTTGTTTCTACTTTTCAGATGTCGAGTCTACTTCGTGGTTTGGGAGCTGGTAGTCCACAGCCGAACGATACCTCCTCTCCGAGCACAGCGCCCCCAACCCTCCCCATGCCTCTCAATGATGCCTACCTCATACGCCCTCCACCCACTGCTTCGGCTTTAGCTGCAGCCGCCGCAGCAGCAGCAGCCGCTTCCACTCAATCCAAACTGCCTTCAACGGTCACCACTATGACTACGGAACGACTGAAGGGACCAGCGAACGAGGTATACACGGTGACGCGATCGGTGACGCGTCCAGACGCGAAGTCCCCGGACGGGCAGCGGGCAATTCACAAACAGACGCAGGAGAAGTTGCGTCATTCGATCCAGTACCGCAAGGTTGTCAACGAGCGCAGGGGTGAATCGCATCAGAGGAAGCTGGCTGAAGACACCTCTCCCGAACAGCAGACAGGCAACGAGAAGATGGTCGTTATCCCAGTGCCGGCGGGGGTAGAGGAGAAAGAGGACCGGATAAGTGGTGGCCATCCCGCAACCAAAGCAGTTTCAGACTCTCAAGGAACAAGGGTTGCGGTTGCTGAGGTGGACAAGAGATCAGTTAAGATAGGAGAAGATGAGAAATACCATTATGCTGTTATACCACGAACCAAAGAGGTGACCCAACAATCCACTGGGTCCAAGGTAAAATCAACTCCTGATGTCGTACCAAAGATTGAAATTACATCTCCCCAGCCTGCCACCAAAACCGAGGCTCAATCCAAGAGTGAAGGCAATCAGAAACCTGTCAATAAACCTATTGAAAAGGACGGCAAACTAGTCATGTCAATTAGTCCATCAGACTCGTACACTCATCAACTAGTCATCAATGTGAATGGACATTTAAGAACTGTACCCTTAAAAGCGGACAATCCTAAAGCGATAGACAAGAAAATCCCTCAGGGTGGTGTCCCGATAGCTCCCAAAGTAAAGACTCCGCCCCGGAAGGTCGATGACAAAGAGCCGACTTCTTCTTTATCATTTTCGGAGCACAGCGCGATGGAAGCTGCACTCATATCGTCCGCACTTATCGCACCGGACATTGCGGCAGTGGCTACGAAAAATAGTGGTGCAGAAGTATTGAGTCGATCACCCGTGCCGGCGACAACAGCCACATCCGAGAGTGAGAACGAGCTCCGTGCCAGGATGCTTTCGCTGCAGTACAAGAACAGCGACGCGATCCTCGGCAACCGGTACGAACGAAAGCTGGACTCAGTTGACAGCGAGCAGGAGCATGAAGTCGCCAATACCATATTGACGATTCGGTCACGACTTCAACAGCAGGAGCTGGAACGCCAGCAGAAACAAGCGCAAACCTGTGACGCGGACTCCACGGTCAAAACCGAACCTCGAAGCCCTACCCCTGTATTAAGCAGTACTACCAGTGACAGCACACCACCGGCCCAATCACCGCTTTCACCACCCGTCCTCGAGAGAGAAGGTGACCGACCGCTTACGAAGCACGACGGTGGCGATGTCGACGACGACGTTGAACCTAATCTCATCATCGACGAATCCCTCAAATCGAAATCGCGGAAACGAACGCGAACACCTACCAAATCCATCCCCAATCTATCGCCGGCTAAATCTGCATCAACGACATCGAGTCCGTCATTGAGCACGTCCTCGAGTATGTCATCGACGTCAGACTACGTTGGAACGTCCAGCGATTCGGTCAAACTAGGCAAGGTCAAGATAACGGTTGATCCCAAGAAAATTTTGACGAAGAAACAGATGGCCATGATGGGAAGCCAGGAACCGAAAAGAAAGAGGAAAAAGAGTGATAAATCGAGCAAGGAAAACTAGAATTCTATTTGTCTTTTATCCATATCACCAGCAGATTCCTGTAGGCAAAGATGCCATCTTGATAGAACCATGTAGGAGGTCTATTGTCCATAAAGATTCATGCACTTGCATGGGACTGCATCAAGGCTTGGGCCCTCACAAAACATTATATCGATGAAAAGTTATGATAACTGCTGTAAGGTTCTTCTTCTTCTTTTGTTACTACCCATTTGCCATTCTGACTATTTCATGGAATAAAAAAAAATACATGTAAAGAACAAAAATTTAAAACAACTCGAATTGGCAATTCAGTCAGCAGCAAACAGTTCTTATCAATATGTTGAAATGGTATCGGTTTTGAACAATGAGTTACTCAGTTGAAATGGTATTACAATATTTAATTAACCTTGTAGATTCGTCTCACATTCATACAATTCATAAGCTTATGGCTTATACATGTAATACTACTTGCACTGCCAAAATAAGCAAAGACTTCTGTTATGTACTTTTGTATGCACGTGAAGATTTGCATAACTTTGTTCTTGATGCTGAATATTCATACCAGATTTGCATATCTCTGTTCTCGATGCTGAATATTCATACCTGCAGTACCGCTTTATGTATTTGCATGGGCACTGCTATATTTATGTACCATTTTTCACGGGGTGGAATAAAAGAATGGCCCACAGATTGGCTGAAAACTTCCAACAAGGCGAAAAGGGGAAAATTGAAAGAAAGGAAATGTTTGCTATCTACTTACAAGGATGTTAACATTTTTGATTTTCTGACAGAAAAATCTAGCAATGTCCCTGCACA